AGGACTCAAACCAATCTGTGTTGATCCTAAGGACGTGACACCAACATTCTGGACCTCTGGCATTAAAAAAGAAAAAAAAAAAGGAGTCCCAACAGTCAGAGTAAGGGCATTGTAAAGACCAGGACGGCAGTCATAGAGAGAGAGAAAAAATAAAAATAAATTAATTAATAAATAAAAACAGGGAGTCAGGCAAAAGGCAGGCTCTTGATATGAGTTATGAACTGTGACCAGGTTCTGTCATATTTATCTTCCAATCCGTGTACTGCATACCTAGTTTTTTCCAGGGCCAATCCCAACATTACCTCTCTAATCCAATGAACATAGGCAGGAGGGTTCTTCCCCTTCCAGTTCAGCAGTATCAGACGGCGGGTATGCAACGATGCAAAGGCAATTGCATTTTTGTGGAGGCGGGACAGCTTAAGCTCATCCCTAACTACACCGAAGATAGCAATCAAAGGGTCAAGCTGCAGTGTTTTGCCAGGTATGGCTGAAACTGATTGGAAGATTGAAGACCAGAAACCATACAGAGAAGGACATGACCAGAACATGTGTCCCAAAGAAACAGGGGAATATTGACATCTAGGACAGTTTGGTGCAACATTAGAGTAGAATTTTGACAGTCTGTCATTAGAGTAATGCAACCTGTGGACAACCTTAAACTGGATCAAGCCATGTCTAATGCAGAGAGAAGATGTGTGTATACGCTGTATGGTATTTTTCCAGGTGTCTTCTGGTATTATTTCTCCAACTTCTCCTTCCCATGCTGCCTTCATTTTGTCCCACGTATGAGGGCAGCTATCCAGAATTAAAGCATATATTTTTGATATTGCTCTTTTATTGAATGGATTTACATTAAGGACTAAATACAGTAGGTCTTTGGAGGGTGGAGATGGATACCCTGGGAAAAATTTAGAGGCAAAACTCCGAACCTGAAGATACCTAAAGTAATGAGATTTTGGTAAATTATGATCTTCACATAGAAATTTAAATGATGCAAAGCCATCATCACTGAAAAGATCTTGAAAGTAGACCAAGCCACAAGCCCAAACTGCAAATGCCTGGTCTATTTGAGATGGTGCAAAAAGATGATTAAACATAATTGGGGAAAAGCTACATATACTTGTCAAATTAAAATGTTTTCTGAACTGACCCCAGATGTTAATCGAGTTTTGGACCACCAAATTAGAGTTCAGTTCAGGTGTTTTGATGATTAGTGGGAGAGGGGCAGTCAAGATTGAAATCGGGGAAACTGGGAGTGTAGCTCTCAGTTCCATATCAGCCCAGACCGGACCCTCCTTGTCTGCGAACGGGGTGATCCAATATGTCAGCTTGGCAATATTAGCTGCCCAATAGTAAAATAAAAAATTAGGTAAACCCAAACCACCATCAGATTTAACTCTCTCCAGGGCTTACCTTCTTTATACGTGGAGGTTTTTTATTCCATATGAACGAAGAGATAAAGCGGTCCAGCTGAGCAAAATAGGATTTAGGGAGAAAAATGGGGATCATTTGGAATAAATAAAGAAACCTGGGCATTACAGTCATCTTCACTGCATTTATCCGTCCTGCCAGTGAGAATGGGAGTTTCGACCACCTATCCAAGTCAGTTTTGGTACGATCTAAAATAGACCTGTAGTTATGCTGAAAAATAGCCTTAATTGAACCTGCTATTTCTATTCCCAGGTAAGTGAATTTGTCATTTTCAATTTTAAAAGGGAAATTTTCATAAGTGATTTGTTTAGCCAGATTATTCAATGGAAATAATAAAGATTTCGATAAATCAACTTTATACCCTGATATGCTACTGAATTTTTGCAGCCAGTGGAGAAGGTGGGGAATGCTCTCAATTGGGTCTGATATTTGCAAAAGCAGATCATCAGCATAAAGCAAGGTTTTATGGTCTGTTTCACCCCTGGATATACCCTTAATCCTGCAATCTGATCTAATAGCAATTGCCAGTGGTTCGATTGCAATGTCAAACAGAAAGGGCGACAGACAGCAACCCTGTCTTGTACCTCTGTGGAGCGGAAAGTATTCTGAAATCAGGCCATTTGTCCTGACTGCAGCCAAAGGTGTTGAATATAGGACTTTGATCCACCTACAGAAAGTGAGCCCCATTCCAAATCTTTCTAAGGCTGCGAAAAGATAGGTCCATTTGATTCTATCGAATGCCTTTTCAGCGTCAAGGCTTAAAATAACTTCAGGCTGTACAGTTGAATGGGGGGAAAATAACACATTAAATAATCTTCTCATGTTAAAGAATGATTGCCGTCCAGGAATGAAGCCTGTTTGGTCCTCATTAATAATTGTGGGAATTACAGGGTCTAATCATTGTTTTAGTTAAGGGTTTTTTTAAGGGTTTTAGTTAAGATTTTATAATCGCAGCACAGAAGACTAATTGGCCTGTATGAGCTGCACTGTACAGGATCCTTATCTTTTTTTAGTAAGACTGAAATTGTGGCCTCTGTAAGCGTTTGCGGTAATTTTCCATAGGTCAAAGATTCATCATAAACAGATTTAAGGATGGGTGCGAGTTTTGAAGAGAATTCCTTGTAAAACTCTATGGGGAACCCGTCCGGACCTGGCGCCCTTCCTGTCTGACATGACCTGATGGCATTCGCTATTTCCTCAAGCGACAATGGCTGCTCTAAAAGTGACTGAGCATCTGGAGAAAGCTTTGGGATATCGAGCAAATCAAGAAACGACTGAATCTCCGATGAGCTACCATCTACCTCAGATTGATATAGAGTAGAATAATATTGTTTAAACTGGTCAATGACTCGGGGGCTGCGAGATATCGAGTCAGCACCTGTGTCAATTCCTGGGATCATTTGTTCAGCTGACTGTTGTTTAAGTTGAAGTGCAAGAAGCCTCCCCGCTTTATCTCCATGCTCATAGTATACCTGTTTGGATTTTAAAATATGTTTTTCGGCTTTCCATGTCATAAGTGTATTAAATTCAGTTTGCAACAGTAATTTCTCCTTAAAAAGATCTGGCATAGGTGAAAGAGCATAGCGCCTGTCAATGTCTGCAATTTTGTCAGCCAGCTCTTTAAGTTGTCTGGAACTCTCCTTATCCCTATGTGCCACATAAGAGATAACTTGGCCCCTAATGTAAGCTTTCATAGACTCCCACAAAACTCCCCTTGATACATCCTGTGTGTCATTGACTTCCAAAAAAAAGTCAATCTGATTGTTGAGATATGTTCTAAAATGCTTACATAAAAGTAATTGGGGGTCTAGCCGCCAAGTTCGTTGGGGCGCTACATTGGCTGGAAAAATGAGATCCATCTGCACTGGGCTGTGATCTGACAATACTATACTGTGATATTTGCTGTTGGAAATTAAAGGTAGTAGTTGGTTATCGACAATAAAATAATCAATCCTGGAGTAACTGTGATGCACGGGGGAGAAGAAGGAGAATTGCTTCGTAGTTGGATTTTTTATCCGCCAGGGGTCTGATAATCCATAAGAGCGAAGGAAGGAGTTAATAGCCACTGCGGCTGACGAGAGAGTGTTGTTTGACCTTACACTTGATCTGTCTAGCTGGGCATGAAGGACGCAGTTAAAGTCCCCACCTAGAATTAGTTTGTAGGAATTAAGGTCCGGGAGAGTTGAAAAAAAATTAAGAAAGAATTGTGCATTGTCCCAATTTGGTCCATAAATGTTAGCGAGTATTATTGGTGTATTAAATAGCTTGCCCACTACAACAATATATCTGCCGTTGGCATCTGTTATTACTTCAGAGTGTTCAAATGGAATCCCTTTCCTAATTAGAATATGGTGAGGTTAATTTAAGCCAGCTGGTGCAGATGTCTCCATATTTTTCCCTGCTGCGATTTTTTTATAGAGATTTACACAAAGTTTATGCCGTTAATTACCGGTAACCCCCCCCCCCGCGGCCACCATTAGCTTTGTGCAGGGGGGACCTTGAAGTTACTGTTGTGAGTTTCGTGGTTTAAGCCACAACTAGCTTTATTTTCGTCTGTATTTTGGTAAATGTGCATGCTTTTCAGTAAGTAACTGTTACTATGTTTGTGTGTGTCGCTGCTAGAATAAGCAGAGACATAACCTCCGACCGAACAAACTGTAGCGATGCAAAAAGTGTCTGTTTTAAACTGAATTAGCTGGGCACAATACCAGGACGTTATTGTTCAATGTGAAAAGCTAGTTAGCTAGCAGCTGACAGTCATTGTTAATCTGCGGATAAAATCACAAGAAACAAATAGATCAATCAAAGTTATTTGCTTTTACTGTATTTTTTGAGTATAAATATCACTGCTCTTTGTGTTTAGGCAAGCACATCTGGACTGCTGGATAGGGTACATCATGTGGCATGCCGGACGGACCCACCAACAACACGCTCATTCGGAACACAGCTTTCAATGAAGACTCTCCAACCTCATTTCAAAAGTATAGATTAGTTGACCAAAAGTAACTTCATTCGTTGATGGGATTTCTTGTTTGTGTACTGTTAATGAGTAACAATACGATTGCTTATCATTTTAGAATTTTGCATAAACAATAACATCATCTGTCTGTTTTTAAGGCACACAGAAAACTGTTTCCTGCACTGATGTTGGTGTTGGCACCTCAGCTCTTCTGCCGTTTCTTACATCAACACCTATAAAGAGACCTAGTAAGAGACGTCGCATAGAACTGGAGGAGGAAGAGGAGAACCGTGACGTGAGTTACCTAAACATTTTAGTAATCATTGTGTTACATTCCTCTACTTATTGAAGCTCTACTAGGACGATCTTTGACTCATTTTCTGTCAATGTTTTGTTTTTATTGCAGAATGGAATCTTCTACCCCTGTCCATAAGACTCCAACTTATATTGTGTATGAGAACTGCCTAATGGAGCTGTTTCAGGCGTGCCTGTGTGTCAGCGGGAATGTGACATGCAGAAAAGAAAATTAGGCACGTTCCTCTTTGTAGAACAACGGTGCCCGCATTGTGAGTTCTACAGAAAGTGGAACAGCCAGCCTCTTGTTGGGAGCACTGCTGCTGGGAACCTGCAGCTGTCCACTGCCGTGTATGCCACTGGTGCCTCTTTCTTTAAGCTTGAAAAGGTATTGTATTTACACTAAACTATGAATAAAGTAATGGAATATAGCATATGATGTAGCTAAATTTATATACACAATGTGTATTTCTGAGAAAGTGATTAACGTGTGGGTGCCTGTCCTGTCTGTTTCTTTCTCCCACAGATCTTCCGGGCAATGCAGTTGAAGATGTTTCAATATGACTCATTTCGAAGGCATGCTCGGATGTACATAGAGCCCGCGATTGTACACAGGTGGAAGACGGCACAGACTGCAATGTTGGAGCAGCTCAGTCAGCAGCAGAATGTTGTCCTCGGTGGTGACTTGAGAGCAGACTCACCAGGTATGTAATACTCTGTCATAATATTCTTTTTTATATATAAACAAATTTACTTGAAAATAAATAAAACACACTGATAAATACTATGTAATGTATATATTAAAAATAATTACTTTTGAAGGACATTGTGCCAAGTTTGGCAGGTACACAATAATGGACATGAGGAGCAACACTGTTATTGTTTTACAGCTGGTTCAAGTGAGTGACAGACCATAAATAATCTCTGTTGTAATCTGTTACAGTGTAGCTCTTATCAGCTGAAATAATCGATTTTTATCTGCTTTCTTAAATAATAGAGTAATGAGGTTGGTGGAAGCTACCACATGGAGAAAGAGTGCCTGAAGAGGAGCGTTGCTCTGTTGGAGGAACGGGGTGTTACTATAGATAGTATTGTGACGGACCGTCACCCCCAAATCCAGAAGTTCCTGAGGGAGGACAATATCACGCATTACTACGATGTGTGGCACATGGAAAAAGGTATTATTTTTTGTGTCTTATTTGTCAACATGAGAGGGAAAAAAAGTTTATTTATGATAACTGTAGTTCCTTTATTGTTACACTGACAGTTATTGATGTGTTCCAGCCTATTATTAATTCAATTTAGACTGTAAGATATATAATTTCTGCTATGTTAATTCAAAGTAATATGGTGGTTTACTATGTAATTAATATACGCTCTATATATGTGAAAGACTCTAACGCTTTTTGTATTATTAGGACTGTCCAAGAAACTGTCTAAGATCTCACAGAACAAGGAGTGTGAGAAACTAATTTTTTGGAATGTGTACAATGTGTTCTCAATCTTATTTAGCATTTTATTATTTTTCCTCCCAAGACTATACCTGGCAGCCCTGCACTTCAATGAAAATGCAGACCGTCCACAGGCAACAACCTCAGCTGGTGAGCCGCTGTTCAGGCTTCATTTTCCAAAGTGGAAGAAAGGAGAATGCACAGCAAAGCCAGTGAAGGAGCAACCAACCTTCCGTAAGTTTTAAACCTTTTTATTGAAAATCACACTGAAAAATGAAACTATAAAATATTTGTAAAATTAATAAAATATAAATTAACCAGTGTCTTTGGCTTTTTCAATGTTTTTAATAAATAATAAATAAACACGATAGAGTAAACACAATATTTTACTTTTTCTTATTGCAGATTACGTGGATGAAATCTTGGACCTGGTGTTTGAGAAGGTTTTTACTGATCCATACGCAGATGAGGTTTTGAAGATCTCCATTCCTGAGGATCTCTCTGCGCAGTTCGAAAGGCCCGACAAGAAGGAGGTGATAGACCACTATGTGACGAGGTTCAGCCAAGGGCCAGTCTGAACCCCACGTAGATGCCTTGAGTGTTGGGGAACTCCGCCCGTGTACGCAGCACCACACAGCTGGGCAGTGCCACGCGAACTCTTCGGCCCAGAAAGCCCCAACACCAGCTCACAAAGCTCCTATAGGCCAAGTACCTGTAACGGCTGAACAGAGTAGATATATTTAGTAATACATTTACATTTATATTTAGACATCATTTATGATTACCCACATTTTTTTTGTAAATATTTGTATTACCTATTTTTTGAACAGTTGTTTGCTGTACTTGTATTTATAAAAATAAAACTATATAAGCTGTTTTTTGTACTTTCAGTGTTTGATATGTAGACATAAACATTATGGTCAGCAAGAGACAGGTTCTTATGAGTGGGATGAGTATCCAAAAGTACGAAAGATAAATTCCTGCACAATATCAAAATGCCAATACCACCATTTATTAGCAGCAAGTTGGTGTTGGACCTAGGTTTAAATGTTGATAATAAATTATGTTATTGCAAGTTAGATTTGGTGCAGAAATTAATCTTTTCTAGTGTTTGATATGTAACATTTTAACAATTATCAAACTGCCTTACAAGAAAAGTAAGCAATGTAACAAAGGGGAAAATGGAATTGTTTTTGGAATATTTTTATTTTGTTTGATGACAGATAATATGACTGAATAGTTACATTTTCATTCAACAAGCATCCATGTACTACCTGTGGTATCTCCCTGCAGCAGACATTCTCTGGCTCTGTAGGCATTGTTGTGCAATTCTCACAAGTACACCTAAACCAGAGGCAAAAAAGGGAAAAGAAATCAGTTATAGTTTTTTATTTGAATATGTTGTTAGCAATAACGACAGGTCAGCTTATGCAACGATGTGATTTGGAATTGGAATTATTGCATTATGTTGAAACACAGTAAATACGGGTAAACAGGAATTACTATGGGGTATACGGCGCTGGCAGAAAGTCGCCCCAACCCCCACTACATCCCTCGTTTCACACCTAGGTGAAAAGTGGCTACAGTGTGGCTGTGGATAGTACATTAACGTTTGATGTTGGACAGAATAATGATGCAATGTTATTACGGCGTAGCTGAGAATAAAAAAAACGAGTGCTATATTCCCACTCGTAGCTAATATTGCGGACTTGTGAAGTGTACTCGTGTAACGGGAATAGCATGCTACTTATGTTTACTCAATTAACAGAAATCTAGATTTTTATAAGCAGTAAATTACCCAAACAGCGGTCAGCGGTTGACCGTATTTAGTCAGCGACCGTATTTACCCGACGTCCAAACATACACATTTTTAAGAATCAAGTAAACTAAAGCTCATAACTCACCATTCAGAAAGGTCTTGTTGCAGTCTACATTGAACAACTTCTTCGCTAGCTCCTTACTGTTCAGGGTCTGACTCTGGTTCAAACATATATGGTTGGACCGAAAAGTTTCTTCCAGCTGCCATCTTTCTCCCAGGGTTCACATTCAACTGTTGTCATGGTAGCGTGAGCGTGCCGACATCGGCACACCTCCCGGAAGAAGTGGGTGGATTGCCTGTGTCTCATTTGCATTTAAAGAGACAGGCACTCAAAACCGGGCGCTCTGAACAGGGCTGTTTTGGCAGGGTGATTGAACTGCTATTGTGCTTCATCCTTATGGTATTTCGACCAAAGCATGTCACAGACATTACATCAGGACACCAGGGAACTAGGTTAACTTGTTGAAATAGGGTATAATATGACTCCTTTAAAATATTTAAGGTGTTTTAATTAGGGACCGAGCCAGTATCAACTGGAAGGTCCCTATTGTTTTTGCTGGATTTCTTATTATTATTAGGGACCAAGCCAGTATCAACTGGAAGGTCCCTATTGTTTTTGCTATGTTTATTATTAGGGACCGAGCCAGTGTCAACACTGTGAGGTCTCTATTGGTTTTGCTTGATTTTTAGGGACCGAGCACTAACAAGTGCAAGGACATTATTGTTCCTCTAGGAATTATTATTATACCTCTGGGACTTCGACCGCATATTTGGCCCCTGCAACAGTCTCAAAATGGCATGAAAATTTGCACAAAATTCAAACGTAGCAAAAATACCGATACGACATTGTCCCCGTGCACGGGCGCCGCCAAACGTCTAAGCCACGCCCCCCAGAATCAGCCCCCAAGACACGTAAGGCCCACATGTACGAAAATTGATACGCATGTGTATCATGATACAAGAAGCAGAAAAGCCTCTTGGACCCATGCCCCAAAACCCACAGGAAGTCTGCAATTTCAATTTTAAATTTTCATCATTTTGTGGTCATTTTGACTTTTTGGGCTTGTATTTGAACAAACTCCTCCTAGGGAATTTATCGGATCTGCTTCAAAATTGGTCAGTACAGTCAAAACATGGTGCTGAATGAACGCTGTTCAATTTGTAACTGTACGTTGAAGGGCGTGTCCGTGGCGTGCCGTCAAAGTTGGCCATTTTTAAGTCAATGGTCATTTTCGGTGAATTTTCGCCTTGCATTTGAACGAACTCGTCCTAGGGATTTCTGGGATCTGCTTCAAAATTAGTCAGTACAGTCACAAAATGGTGCTGAATGAACGCTGTTCATTTTTTGACTGCACGTTGAAGGGTGTGTCCGTGGCGTGCCGTCAAAGTTGGCCATTTTGAAGTCTGTGATCTTGTATTTGAATGGTAAATGGTAAATGGACCTGTACTTGTATAGCGCCTTTCTAGTCTTCCGACCACTCAAAGCGCTTTTTACACTACGTGCCACATTCACCCTTTCACACACATTCACTCAGTGATGGCAAAGTCCATCGAACAGAAACTAACATTCATACACACTCACACACCGATGCACGGCATCGGGAGCAATTCGGGGTTCAGTATCTTGCTCAAGGATACTTCGACATGTGGCACCAGGAGCCGGGGATCGAACCCACAACCTTCCGATTGAGGAACGACCTGCTCTGCCTCTGAGCCGCACAGTTGAACAAACAAACCTCTAGGGAATTTATCAGATCTGCTTCAAAACTTGACAGTACAAGTTGTGCTATTTATGACTGTACGTTGAAGGGCGTGTCCGTGGCGTGCCGTCAAAGTTGGCCATTTTGAAAGAATGTCACACTGTGATGTCATTTTTGGCATTTCAGGGCTTCTATTTTAACTAACTCCTCCTACAGGTTCTATTGGATCTACTTCAAAATTGGTCAGTACAGTCAGTTTTTTTTGTCCAACATTGTGCCCGTGGCGTGGCGTCCCGTGGCATCCAATTTCAAACTTCGCCACGAAAGAGGGATTCGTCATAACTTCTGCGTACGTGATCCGACTGCAACGAAACTTCACATGTTCGATAAGAGTCCCGCCCTGAACATGTCTATGTGATAATATTCGGTAATAGTCAGAGCGCCACCTAGTGGCAACAGGAAGTATCACGTTTTATACTTTCATGTTCTACTCCTAGCAGGATGATCAGACCCAGCTGAAATTTACTTATAAAATGCAAAACACATTGCTGATTATATGTGATGACTGCGGTGAGGGGGCGTGTCTGTAGCGTGGCGGGAAATTTTTATGTACCGCCACAAAACACGAATTTGCTATAACTTGAGTGTACATTGTCCAATCGGCTCCAAACTTCACGTCTGATAAGAGTCCCGCCCTGAACACGTCTAAATGATAATATTCAGTAAAAGTGAGAGCGCCACCTAGTGGTAAAAGGAAATGTAATTTTTTTATACTTGCATGTTCTACTCCTAGTAGGATGATCAGATCAAGCTGAAATCTAGTCAGAAAATGGAAAACATGTTCTTGATGATATTTCTTGATTGTGGTGAGTTTTTGTTACAGGGCGTCTCCGTGGCGTGGGGTCAAACTTTGATGTACCGCCAGAGCACACAAAGTTGCTATAACTTGAGTGTACATTGTCCAATCGGCTCCAAACTTCACATGTCTGATAAGAGTCCCACCCTGAACACATAGTGATAGCGCCACCTAGTGGCAACAGGAAGTAAGTGCTGCGTGGCGATTTTGAGCTGATTTACGTGAGATTTTCATGTCGCGGTCTGCACGTGTTACGATGGCACGTGATAGCACGCTACGAGTTGCGTGGAGTGCGAGGTCCCGTCCATCGCTGCTTGCAGCTTTAATTTCTTATTATTATTTTTAGCCCCTTTCACTGCATTTTTGACCCCCTGAACATATACGAAAAGTCTATTTTATTTGTCAAAGTTGTCAGGCCTGGGGTACTCCTGGATATTCTTCGCGTCACTTTCAGGTTGGCCACTAGGAAGGCCACTAGGTGGCGCTACTTTTAGGCAAAGTTCGATAGGCTAATAACTCCTGTATCGTTTGTCTCACATTCAAAAATTGTATATCAACGCGTTCGGTGAATGGAGCTGAATCTCCCTATATAGGCCACGCCCACTTCTGCCTAGATTTTTTTCCGCTACAGCGCGAAATGTCCAAAAACTACGTTTTCCTGTTCCATCCATGCACTTTTGTCCGATTGGCACGAAACTTTGCACGTAGAATCTGGAGACCATCCTGGCAAAAAAGAGTAATTTAAAGTATTTTGATATTTCAAAAAATAAGCACGTTATAAAATTAGCACTTCCTGTTGATTTTTCATCAAAAAAGGAGGTTGACCATTTCTCCACATTGGTATGTCCGATTGACAGCAAGCTTGGGTCAATGGTTCATCATGTGTTCATTAGGCATCTTGCACAATCTTTAACAACTCGAGGCCACCGCCACAAGGTGGCGCTCTTCCAAAGTTAAACGTTTATATCTCTGCATCGGCATGTGTGATTAAAATGAAACTTGGTACGATGCTTGTCCATGGCTCCCTGAGGCTCCTCTACAAAGGAAAGAAAATCACGCCACTAGGTGGCACTCTGGTGGCAGGGTAAATCATTCTGCAGAGACTGTAATAGTTATGAATATGAAATTCACAGGACATGTGTAGCGTGGTGCCTGTAGTTCACATACCAAAAATCGTTTTTGTCGTGTTTGTAGCGCCCCCTACAGGATTTTTAAAAAGCAGCCCCGGCGCCACGTTTCACCGATATGTATGAAACTTGGTAGGCATGTGTGAGGTGCCGAGACATACAAGAAAGCCTCTTGGATCCATGCCCCAAAACCCACAGGAAGTCGGCTTTTTTCATTTTAATTTTCACTATCGTCGGCCATTTTGTGGTCATTTTAACTTTTTGGGCTTGTATTTGAACGAACTGCTCCTAGGGAATTTCTCGGATCTGCTTCAAAATTGGTCAGTACAGTCAAAAAATGTTGCTGAATGAACGTCGTGCATTTTGTGACTGTACGTTGAAGGGCGTGTCCGTGGCATGCCGTCAAAGTTGGCCATTTTGAATCGGATGTCAATCTGTGATGCCATTTTTGGCATTTCAGGGTTCTATTTTAATTAACTTCTCCTACAGGTTTTGTCGGATCTGCTTCAAATTGGTCAGTACAGTCAAAAAATGTTGCTGAATGAACGCCGTGCTATTTGCGACTGTACGTTGAAGAGCGTGTCCGTGGCGTGCCGTCAAAGTTGGCCATTTTGAATCGAATTCAAACTGTGATGCTATTTTTGGCATTTCAGGGCTTCTACTTTAATTAACTCCTCCTACAGGTTGTATCGGCTCGACTGCAAATTGGGTCAGTACAGTCAAAAAATGTTGCTGACTTTCGTGGTCTTGTATTTGAACGAACGAACTCCTAGAGAATTTATTGGATCTGCTTCAATACTGGACAGTACACTTGAAATATGTTGCTGATTAAAAGTTGTGTGATTTGTGACTGTACGTTGAAGGGCGTGTCTGTGGCGTGCCGCCAAAGTTGGCTATTTTGAATTCTGTGGTCATTTTCTATGAATTTTTGCCTTGTATTTGAACAAACGCCTCATAGGGAATTTATCAGATCTGCTTCAAAATTGGACAGTGCAATCAAAAAATGTTACTGATTAAAACTTGCGCAATTTGCGACTGTATGTTGAAGGGCGTGTCAGTGGCGTGCTGTCAAACTTTGATGTACCGCCTGAAGACACAAATTTACTATAACTTGAGTTCTTGACTTGAGTTGTTCAGTCGACACCAAGCTTGGGTCCATAGTTCCCCATGTCTTCCTCAAGCATAGTGCACAATTCGAGGCCATCGCCACAAGGTGGCGCTCTTTAAAATGAAGAAATGTATATCTCCGCATCAGCACATGTGATTAAAACGAAACTTGGTACGATGATTGCCCATGGCTCCCTGAGGCTCGCTAAAAAACGTGTCAAAAAAATTGCCACTAGGGGTCGCTCTGACTGTAGGGTAAATCATTCTGCAGAGACCGATAGTTATGAATTCACAGGGCACGTCTAGACTGGTGCCTGTATCTCACATACCAAAAATCGTGTGTGTTTTATTTGAACGAACTCCTTGTAGGAAATATATCGGATAAATTTCAAAATTGGTCAGTACAATCAAAACAAACTGGAGATAAAAAGTTTTGCTATGTGTGACTGTGCGTTAAACGGCATGCTCATGGCGTGGCGTCAAATTTCAATGACTGACTTTCAATGAAAAAGGAAGTTGCCATAACTTCAGCATACATGATCAAGCTCAATGAAACTTCACATTGATCTGATTTGCGTGAAATTTTCATGTTGCGGTCCGCGCGTGTTACGACGGCACGTGTTAGAACGGCACGTGTTACGACAGCACATGACGCGCCCGCAGCACGCCCCGAGTTGCGTGGAGTGCGAGGTCCCGCACAATGCTGCTTGCAGCTTTAATTTTTTATGTTTCTAGATTTAAATTTATTTTACACATATTACACATTAATGTTACACATAACTGAATTCAAGCCATTGACCACTGAGTTGACACAATCCTGATTAAGCTTTTCGGTTTACAGAGTTATGTGGAGCTGATGGGCTTAATCAGGATTGTGTCAACTAATTTGTCAATGGCTTGAATGTAACAGACATTTATTTAATTTACATTAATTTATGTGATGTATCTTCTATAGAGTTTATGTCTAAATAAGCTGTTTTCATTTCTAGTTTCAAACAGTATTCATGCTTAATGTTAATAAGAAACTTTTTCAGAACTGCTTGAGTATGAGATGCTTGAATAAACATACGGTTTATGTTAAACTTCCCTTTAACTTTATATGTAATATTGAATAAACACATAAGGTTTATGTAAAAGTTCACCTAAAGTTTATATGTAGTAAGTAAATTAACACATTAAGTTAATGTAGAAATTTGCATCAACATTATTTATTTATATTACTTATAAATGATAGAAAAACATTGCATTTAATGTGACCTTTTACATTCAACAAAGTCCACGTTTTTGTTCTAGTTAAAAGGCTGGCAGGCTATACAAATAAAATTTAGTCGAATGGAATTGAATAATTTGTATGTGTATTTGAACTGGATACCAAAATAATACTGTGATGGAGGCAGTCATGAGTTTGCTGTTTCTTATAAGAGGAAGAGCAATATGATGTACCATTACAATTTCGGGCCTGGTTGTTTTTGTGTGATTTTTATGCGCACAAAGGCAAATTCCTTGTATGTGTAAAAACTTACTTGGCAATAAACTTGATTCGGATTCTGATTCTGGTTCAAATCCAAACATTTTGGATGTGGATGTGGAAGGGAAGACAACAGAGGGCAAGCACTAGGACCCAGTCAAAGGGGCAATCTAAGGGGAGGGAAGCTCACCTGGCCTTTTCTTCCTACTGTGAGACACACCTGAGAGAGCAGCTGAGACCAGCCTTTGATTCTTCATGTTGGTGAGGTTCAAAAGCTTGGAGTGATTGTTTAAACACATCAGCCAATGAACAGATTATAGCTGGGGGAAGGGACTGTGTTTCCAGTTAAGCAAGTTTTAAACATCAGAAGAGCCAACCACTGTTTTTCCCATATTCATTAGATTTTTAATGTGCCTTAACTCATTTATTTCACTGAAAACTTTGTTTTATTTTTCCTTTGTGGTGTTTCTGGTTTCGGGTGTGTCTCTGGTTCCAGGTTATTCTGGTACTGGGTCACATTAGGTTGACGTTGGTATCATAGAGTCATAATATTGCTTGGAGTTTGTGTTTTTTGATAGTCGGAAATAATTATATTATTATTTAGAAGTACAAATATGAAAATTTTATTGTCCAAAATGTGGACATTTGTCTCATTATAATTAGTGTGTTTTTGTCACACAAGTCTACACTATACACAAAATCACATTAACTAGGGCCTACTTTCATTTATTACCTTGATGGTATTTGGGACAAAGGATTTCTTGTAGTTATTTCTGTTAGCAATTGGTAATCTATGAAGATCAAGCATCTCCCTGAAGGTAAAAGTTCAATTCACTGTGCAAAGGGTGAGAAGGGTTGTTGATCAGTCAGCCTTACTTCTTAAGTAAGTTCATCTTACATACTACTTAGCTGTTTGTGTGGCTTCCCTACAATTTAGGAGGCCATGTTCACTATTTTCTGCAGTTTTCTCCTCTTAATGTTCAGATTACCATATAACATGAAAAGATAAAATTCTTTCCACTTGGGTTTTATACAGTTTCCAGAATATTTTGGCTTACTCCAAAATGGTTGAGTTTGCCTATATTGTTTAATATTTACATTATCTTGCCAAATTATTATTTTCTATTAGCCTATATCAATGTGAACAAACTTAAAAACATGGGAATCCATAATGATAACTAGATACCTTCACCAAGGAGGACTCACTGAGGTTTTGACGCTATAATGTAGTTGCACAGTTACTGTGCACGTGACATCTGTAGTTAAATGTTGAATTTAAGAGGAGTAACTTAATACTGCCTTTCTCCAGATATTTCACCACGGTGAATACCCCTAACCTAGACCATTGTGGAAGACTTCGTGGTGCACAAGACTCACAGGGTTCAGACAGGTACGTTAGTTATACAGGTAGTACAATAACAATCAATCCCCCCCCCCCTCCATTTCTTAGCCGAAAAGTCAAAGGTAAGCTTTCACCTGACTACAAATGACGTATTGGCTAGCTAATGAGTTTCACCGACAGCTCCTCAAGAGGATTCATATCTAAAAATGCCCGGAGAAAACAAAAGCACCTCATTTTGTATAGTTGTACCCTGTAAGAATCCATCTTGGAGCCAATATATTTATGATAACATTCAAACATGCATATTCACTGGAATTATACATATGCACCATCAATAAAGTGATAATCTCCATTTAGCCAGAAACTATACTTTATACCTTTTTTACATGGTATCTTTCAAGTATTCACCACATATATGAGTCCAGACAGACATGGAGGTAAACTGTTACTTGAATGATTAGCAGTGTGTTCTGTGCAGTGTTTTTGTTTTCCCTATGAGTATCAAGTAAGTAAAATTGGATGAAGGCACAGACAACAGCCTACAACAGGATGTAATAAGTTAAACAAGTGCATTTGTTTTACAGTATTTGCACAGTACACAAAAATGTCAAAATCATGCCTGAATGTCATCAGAGGCAGATCTAAATGTGACACTAAAAAGTGCCTGGCCACCCCAGCTGCCACCCCAGTTTGATGTCAAATGTGAAATGTAAATAAAACAATTTACTGATTTCTAATGCCACCTTTAGAATTTCTACTTAATGCTTTGCTAATCTTTATTAAATGCCACCCTCTGGACACCCCAAGAATATTTTTCTAGATCTGCCCCTGTCATTCCAGTTGGTTGGTGATTTAACATATAGTTTTGTAACTACTGACAGAAATCAGACAATTATACAAACCATTATGATTCAGGTTCCTCTGTAACACCTGTGTTAGCTAGTTCCGCTAGTCAGATGTTAAGTGACAGAGCAACAGGAATGTAATTGTATTTAAGGAAAGTCTGGCAGATGGAGCTGTGATTTATTTAGTCAGCTGCTTGAAGACTGATGAAAGATCCGCTCCTGTATTGTGGAGTGTGAACAGAAGAAATAGCAGCCACAGACTGAATCAAATTCTGTTTATCATTGAAATACAAATACATCTGAACAGATGACGTACTCTCACAAAAAAAGATGGATTAGCCCCAATTTTATGTGTTTGGGAATATACACTATAATCAAATTACATGATAATAGCTTTTTCTTATCTGGGGACACTAGGGGCTGTCAGTCAAGTCTCAGAGGAGGTTTTTGTCCCAGACAAAATATATCTGTAAACATATATGAAAGGCATTCAGTTGGACAGTTTTACAGTGTCTTACACAGTGTCTAATCACTGTGTGCAAAAAAAGGGCGCAAACAAATCTAACAAGCAAGGTAAAAGCATTAATGTCTGAGACCAAGATAATCCCAGAGTGGAGCCAGATTTGGGGATCACTGCCAATGTTGTTAGGGCCAATTACCATGGCACAGAAAGCTTGATTACAGGATTCCTAAACACACTAAAGAAAAGTTAGAACAAATCGACTGTCTTTCACACACACACACACACACACACACACACACACACAGCTTTACTACTATCACAGAGTCATATATACTATCACTATCAATCAACAACAATAATATCAACATGAATTATGTGTAAGTAAGGGTGTTGATCGAGGGTGCACATATTCTCATCTGGATTCCTAGAGAGAGAGAGAGAGAGAGAGAGACATATGACATTGTCCATACTTAATTTTTTTTCTCTCCATATTACCTATTATCTATCAATATGCCAAAAAGAGAAGACTTACTGTGGTCACTGTAGAATGTCTGCCAGCTTCTCTTGATAATACTCATAGTTTTCTTTGCAGTCCTCCCACAGGTTCAGAGGTTGCTCCTCGTTCTCCACAAAAGTTTCCCAGGTGTAGGAGAAGTCCAGAGGCTTCATCACTCTCAGCTTACAGCCAGCAGCGTGCAGGGCCCTCAGCCCGGCCTGGATCTCTGCTTCCTCCCACTCAAACAGCCGAGCAGCAAAGATGCTCAGCTTGACGTTTTTCCTGGCTTTCAGCACCTCAGCTACCTTTGCTGCACAAGCAGAGCAGGGACTGGAAGACACATACCTGAAAGGAAGGACAGATGTTTGTAATTTTCGAAACATTTATCATTGTATATGTGCATTAAAGGACACTCATATTACAATGCATGTATCTAAAGCCAGAGAAATGTGTGTGCTAGCATGATGCTAAGAAGGCTCTCCACTGTTTTACATGTCAAGGTCAGTTTACTCGTCATGAGGAGTACTACACAGCTAGCCCAGTCTGAGAAGATGACATAAGTGACATCACTTGAAAAAGATGCTATTAGGTCCAGTGTGTAACATTAAGGAGGGTTTTTTTCAGGGTCTGCCATGTTGAAACACCATGTTTCAGTAGCCCAGAACAGAAAGTAAACAGTGGATCTAGTTGTGGCCATAAGTGTTTTTTGGGAGTTAAACAGCCACTGTAGTTTCTCCCAACGTGCTTGGTTGACTCGAGGGGTTTTATTTGGTTGCAGTCTGAAATATCACCGCTAGATGCCACTAAATTCTATATGAAGTATGAGACAAGTATAACCCTGTGTTTTTCCTATGCTGCTTTGATTTTGACCGTTTTTAATCCTGTCTCTCACAAGACCCCAAACTTTATCTATTTACAATACAAAATCACTGGAGTACCTTTTGATATTTAGTTACTTATCAGAGGTTGGTGGAACATTGTGTAGGATTTAGTGGCATCTAGTGGTGTAGTTACAGATTGCAACCCCATTACCTCAACATCCTGTTCCAAGCATGAAGGAGAAACTACAGTGGCCATGAAACTCAAAAAACAAGTGTTTGGTTTGTCATTCTCTGATACTGTAGAAGCGTGACGGACAATATCCAACAGTTTGAACCCACAGATATTGTTAAGAAAATATTTTGCTCATCACAAAAATCAGAAGGATGAGAGAAAATTTAATTGCTTCACCATACTATTCATTAGTGAGCTTCTGGTATGTCAGAATAAACTAATAATCATTTGAAAAAAAAAAGATTATTAGTCTTGGGGATGAATAAAGTATCTATCCATCTATCTATCTCTATCTATCTGATGCATGCATGTGAGGCTACACAATGTGTCGCCACAGTCTTTTTTACATTCTCTGTGCCACATACCCTTTAACAGTTTAAGAGAGGTATATACCAGGTGACTGTGTATTTCAGTGCAGGATCGTAGTTCGGCAGGCACTGAATAAAGAAGGCCTCCTCAGCATGAGCACAGGTATGCTCATCCTCCAGATAGCCCCTCAGCAACCCATCACTTGAGTTCCCTTTATCCACAAGGTAACACAGGAAGGTCTTGTTGCGGCCTGAGGAGTATTCCACATTCTTGAACTGGAACTTAAAGACGAAAGGATCAATCCGGTCCCTGTATAAAAGAGAATAATGAAATTGGCATATTAGTTTTCACATCCAAATGTTGCAAACCAAAGCTAAAGTTTTATTTAGGGCGGCTGTGGCTCAGAGGCAGAGCGGGTCATTCCTAAATCGGACGGTTGTGGGTTCGATCCCCAGCCCCTGGTGCCACATGTTGAAGTATCCTTGAGCAAGATACTGAACCCCAAATTGCTCCCGATGCCGTGCATCGGTGTGTGAATGTGTTTGAATGTTAGTTTCTGTTCGATGGACTTTGCCATCACTGAGTGAATGTGTGTGAAAGGGTGAATGTGGCACGTAGTGTAAAAGCGCTTTGAGTGGTCAGAAGACTAGAAAGGCGCTATACAAGTACAGGTCCATTTACCATTTAGTTTTTTTACCTATTCTCTCTGACACCAAGCCCAAAAAAACTGCTGTGATCTGTCATTAAACATCACTAAAATAAAAGTTAAATCGTGGTCATGGTAGCCTATCTCTAACTCACTGAAGTTCTTCAAATGAGTGAAACAGTTGTTGGGTCCGTGTATCTTTTGGTCATTCCATTTTCCTTTCAGAAACGGGTATTAAAAAACAGAAAACAAGTGGTTATTTCATTTTCGTTGGTTTCTTTTCTGCAAAACTGGGTTGTTATAAAGTTACAAACTTTGTTATAAACTTTGAATGAATTATAAAGAAAACAGTCAGCCTATCGGTTACATGAGTATCGTCCATTTCACTGAACCCAGAGCAGGTGCCACAACATAGTAACATAGAGTACTTATTTCTTATCCCTTCCAGGACATTCACCTTTGAAAGACATTCCACAATGATCTAACAGTATGGCTGTTTATCTACCAGTGGAAACAAAAGTTTTTGTTAGTATATTAAAGGAGACCTATTATGCTTTCCCATATTTTATATATCTATATATATATATATATATATAATGTTACAATGTGAGGTGTGAAATGTTCATATTAAACATGGTCAAAGATATAAATAATGACGTAACTGTAAAATTGACCCCTTTGAGTAAAAAGCTCAGGTTTCAAACTTTCCTATGGCTTTTTTTACGGAAGTAACAAAAAACTAAAACTGCAGTTCCTCTAACGGCCATTTGAAGCTTAGAAGTGTTTACAGTCTGGTACAAAAACGGCTTTTGGTCAGGGGAATGATGAATGTTTATATGACTCACCCATTTAAATGTATTAAGGCTTAAAGGGTCGCATAACTAAGGGAACGGCTGCTTTGCATGACAGGTGGGTGCTGTCACAGGCAGCTGTTTTCAGTAACCAGGCTTCTTCAGCCTGCCTCAGCTCCACCCACGCTCCACCTCTTCACCCGTTTTTGGATAAGCCGGGAGCTGGCGGAGTCAGGAGTGCCAAGATGGTGACGGACAGAGCCGACCACACTGAGCTTCGCAACGGCTCTTCAGAAACCGGGCTGGCTGCTGATCTACCGGTGGAAAACATTTTGTTAGTGATGTCACGTACACTACAACCCTTTTTAATTACAGTCTATGGGCACAGCACGCCAAGGTATATCCCATCAACCCGCTCGGCCTGTCCAAGTTATTCAACTGCTCTGCTCGGGACTTGCAGAGAGTGCTGAGCCAACAGAGCGCAGGTGTTTACGTCGATGATGTTTAGTGCTCACTATCTTGTTGCTGCTGTTGACATTTCCATGACGCAAATTCAAAAGATGCACTGCATAATTATTTCCTAAGAGTATATGTGTATGTATATATGTATATAAATAACTGTATATGTTGTTGTATTTAATTTTATCTTTTTCTTTTTTGTTATTTTATTAATTGAATTATACTTTTCTTTACATGTAGCATCAAGGGGCCCAAACATTAATTTTGTTAAAAAACCTTGTGTTGTATATTGATGAATACATTTCCTTGATTCCTTGGCATAATCCAGTTACACCAAAATCAGTGAATACCTTTATAAAGTTGTGTTTTTGTTCAGTGAGGTCCAGCCCCCAGAAACACTGTGCTCCAGTGGTGTCTACTGTTTTTTCAACCAAGTTCTTTTCATTGATGGTCTGACTAATTAATCAAATGAATTTGGAAATAACTGTCAGTTAGATAAGCTGTAGGTCGATGCTAGTTACTCGGCTGACCATGCAAAACCACTGGTGTGGTGCTTTAAATAGAAGGCCAAATCTAGCGAACATCAAGGATAGTGAGGTGGGTGTCAGGTTGAAACTCGGGTTGTCAGGATGGGGGCAGCACGGCAGCAGCAGGGAGAGCAGAGCTAATTTTACATTGTGTACATGGCTGTGACTGGAATTCCACTGCCTTATTATTAGACTTGTTAACCAGTACAGTCTCTCTCTCTCTCTCTCTCTCTCTCTCTCTCTCTCTCTCTCTCTCTCAGTGTCAGAAGTCAGCATCATTAACATACAGTGCCATTACTCTGCAGTTACAGTGTAATATTTAGTACTAACAGTGTACAGTACATAACCATACTTTTGTGTAGGCACAGGGGAACAAGATGTGAAGTTATGGAAATGCTGACATTTCAGGGAAGATGTAGTGATGACGTTTATGATCTTCCAACACACAGTGATAAAAGTCAAAGCCATTCAGATATGACTTAAATTGCAAAGAATCTAACCTGTATCTGATTTGGACCTCATATGTTGTTTATCGATGTAGCAGCATCTCTGACTATTTTGTTGGTTAATCTTATATCTGCCTAACATATACCATCCTAACATCTGATGAGCCTGACCTGAGAAGTAACAAGGTAACAGCTGCAGACGTTGAGCTAATAATTATGGGAGGTACCACGAACGGAATCAGAAAACATAAGTGACTCTCATTCATGTTCATCACAAACTACCTATCTTCTAGCTCTCACAGCTCTACCCACACCTGATTAGCTAACTGCCAAACTGGTGTTTTATCTACCTGTTGACTGGCTGAACAATCCCGATTTTACTAATCAGATGAGGGTGGAGAGAGACTGCAAATATGCAGGGCTTCCTGTTTATTTGTGCAATAAGGTAACCAGAGATCACTCGCCATTGAAGTATTATATTTTTATTCGGGCTGTCTAACTATTATTTCCATGATCAATTATTATTTTTCTCAATTTAATCAATTCATTGTTTTGTCTACAGAATGTGAAAAATTCCTAATATATAACTTTAAAATATATACGTATATACAGTATATATAATATAATATATAAAGTCGAAGGTGACGTTTTCAGATGTCTTGTTTTGTCCAATCAGCAAGTGGGCCATTAACTCTGCTATCTGGTGTGTAGGGCCCTGTATGACCTGTGATGACATGTATAGCTGCATGTCGTCATTCCACCACTGGCTGTAGAGGTGGTATCCAGAAAACGATGTGGGCTTTATAGATAACTGGCAGCCTTTTTGGGAAAAACCTGGTCTGATTAGGAGAACCGGGATCTATCCCACTTTGGATGGAGTGGCTCTCTTATCTAGGAATATGACCAAGTTTATTTCTAAAACCTGACAATCCAGAGTTGGGACCAGGAAGCAGAGCTGCTGTCTTACACACTTCTCTGCGCTTCCATTAGAACAGTCACCCACCAAAAACCCCATAGAGACTGTGTCTGTCCCCCAACCACCTAAATAATTTAAAGAAATAAAAACGAGGAATTAAACATAAAAACCTAATAAAAATTAAAACTAACTCCTCAATAGCATAAAATAAAATAATGTTATGTGGACTGTTAAACATCAGGTCCCTGTCTTCTAAAGCTGTTCTAGTTAATGAATTAATATCAGATTATGACACTGATTTACTGAGACCTGGCTGTGCCACAAAGAGTATGTTAGCCTAAATGAATCAACCCCCCCAGTCATATTAATGCTCACATTCTTTCACACTCTTGACCTCCTTCCATCATATGGCATTGATATTGAACATTTAATAGTCTTCCCACAAAATCCTTTTCTTTCTGGCCATTATTAAATAACTTTTGAATTCCTACTACTAGATTATAAGTCATTAGGCAAAACGTCCTACAGCAGATGTCTATCTGATAGTGCTGTAGCTAAATTTAAGGAGGAGATTCCATCAATGTTTATTCAGTTTAGTGAATTGTTGTTATTTAGTCCTATAACAACTTTAGTCCCTCCCAAATTGATAATCTTGTTAATAGTGCTGCAGGCTCACTACGAACAACATTAGATTCTATCGCCCCTAGATAAAATTATTACTATTAGAGACAAAATTAATAACCAAAAAGGAACATTTGCATACAGCAGGTCCAAGGTCTTATTGTCTCTGGTGGTGCATGTGACAAACTGGTGGAAGGTTGGGAGTGTGGACGAGAGAGAAACGTGGTTGAAGTCCCCTGTGATGATGATGAAGCCTCCGGGTGTTTCGTTTGTAGTCCTGCAGTCAGTGTGGATGACGTCACATGCTGCTTTGTGGCAGATAACATGGAGGACGTAGTCTGACGGCGACAAGCTTGATGTCCGGGCCGCAGACACGCTCTTTAACACAGATGTGCCTGGAGTTACACCACCTGTTGTTTATGAGCACAGCCGGTCCCCCCACCGTTCTTCTTGCTTTTCGCGGTGGTGTCCCTGTCGGCTCGAACCGTATGGAAGCCGGGAATGATGACGTTGGAGTCCGGGATCTGTGTAGCCACGTTTGTTTCCAGTGATGACTGCAGGGATGTAGAGTTTAAACCTCCTCTTCTTCATCCTCCATTTAACCCCTGCTCTGCAGCCTCGCCGTCTCCTCCTCAGCTCCTCCGGTATGGAGGGTCTCTCTCCAGTCAGGATGCTAGGGTGCCTCAGGGCGATCATCTGGTCGCTGGTGTAAGCAATGCGACTCCCCGTCGCCATGGAGACACGTGCAAAAAAAAAAATAAAAGGTGCTCAAAAACGCCAAAAAAATATTTAGGCGACATGAACAAAGTAGTAAGAAAGTAAGAAAGAAGGAAAACAGTTAAAAATAGGGGAAAAAAACACAGGCTAAAAATACACTAAAACTACAACGATAGGAGCTGCCAT